ATCTCTTCCAAGTTAGTCTTAGATGATGAGGTTGATAATAGGAATTGTCACCATTGCCTCGAGGTCTTAGAGAACATCCTGGTGGGGGGTCCCCTTTGATTATTTTTAATATTGCCCCTATTTTGGTTGCTCCAATTACCTCGGCCTTAATTGTTGCCATAATTTTGGTATTGGCCACCAAAGCCTTGAGATTGTCTTTGATTTCTATACCCTTGGCCTTCTTTTTTATTACTAAATCCCTGATTATTATAGTTACCTCGGAAACCTAACCACCATTTTTGTAGTTATCAAAACTCCCTTTTTGGTGAGAATTTCTATTCCCAAAATTCCTTGGACCTTCAAATCTTTGTCCATTGTTGTTGTTAGAAACAAAATTCAAATGTTCACAATCATTATCCTCAACATCATCACAATTATCTAATGCATGTGAACAACTAGAAGCACCATGGTCATATGACCCACAAACATCATAAAATACAAATCCATTTGGCATATTATTTGAAGTAGAGTTAGATGGTGTACCTCTCCCCTTAATGTAGGAGGGATGACTCGGTGCATTAGAAGGTGCACTCTCAAGATTAGCCTTAATTGATGTCATCTCCTTCCCCAAATTTGAGATTTGAGAGGACAAGTTTTTGATTACATTAAGATGGTCAACCGAGTAGACTGTTGAGCCACTTTTGCTTGTAGACTCTCTCGCTCCCTCTTGTCAATCCATGTAATGGCAAACTACATCCTCTATGATATCCACAACTTCTTCCTCGGTCTTGTTCATTATCGGGCCTCCGACTCCGGCATCAAGACATGACTTTCCTTAAGGACTTAATCCTCCATAAAAGATTTGGATGATTTGGTAGGTCGGGATTCCATGGTGAGGACATTCTTTTTTATACTCCTTATATCTTTCCTAAGCATCATACAAACTCTCGCTAGGCTTTTGCTTGAAACTTTCTAATAGAGTTCTTGCCTCGGTGGTCTTCTTTTGAGGGTAAAAGCGGGAAAGAAACTCTTTGGTGACCTCATCCCAAGTTCTCAAGGAATTAGGCTTCACTTCCTTATCAAGTCACTCCAAAGCTCCACCAATTAGAGAAAACGGGAATAGCTTGAGCCTTATTTATTCTTGAGAAACCCCATTGACCTTGATTGTGTTGCAATATTTTTAGAACTCTTTGAGATGATTTAGTGGGATTTCGTGCTTGGCACCACTAAATTGCCTTCTCTCAATCATGGTTATCATCGCCGGTCTTATCTCAAAGTCATTAGCCAGTGTTGTTGGTGGAGCAATCCCACTCTCAAATCGATAGGCACCGGGAGTTCCCAACTCTTTTAAAGCAACCCTTGGAACTTCTCCCATGCTTCCTTGTTCTTATTCTTGGAATTCTTCTTCACTTGAAGAGCTAGAACTCAATTAACGTCTACCAACTCTTATCCTTGCGATTGTTCTCTCAATCTCCGGATCAAAAGGCACTAAAGTCCTTCCTCTTGTCCTATGCATACAATCTCAAAGAAATAATATAATTAGTAGCACAGCTACAAGTGTAGCCTAAAAGAGAATTTTTTTTTTTGTATTTTTAAATTAGAATGAAATAGATTCAACAACAATAGCAAAAAACTACACCGTTCCCCAACAACGGCGCCATTTTAACGGAGGGTGGATTATAGGTCGTTGAAACTAAAATCTCTCCGATCAAACAAAATTTATATCACTTAACAAACATAAATACAACTATAGAGGTAGGTCAAGGGTCGAATCACTAGGAATGGGAGATTCTTGCTATGGCTAGAGTTAAGCTACTTCAAAGGGGTGAAATAGAGATGTATGTTATCTAAATCAACTAATCAAACAAGGTAAAATCAATATAACATGGCACTAGGGATTTAGGATACACGTATACTTGCAATGGACACACAAGCTAATCGGGTTGGGAAATGATTGATTCGACCGATGCGAGGGAAGATAGATAATGCAATCAAAAGAGCTTAAAAAGCTATCTCTTAGAGGTCTAACTAGATCCAACTACAGAAGACTCTAACTAGGATCATCACTAAACATGCTCAATCGACAAATGTGAGCTACAAATCAATGGTCTATATCAATGTAAGCACACAATGCAATCTAGTATGACAATTAAAGTTAGCTACTCTTTAACTATTCACACACATGCACAAAATCAATCAACCAATTTAATCACAATGCTAAATCAATCAAAAACCCCAATTAACTATGATACATCACTCATACATGCTTCACCACATCCCTAGCAAGTAAACTAATCACAATCCATGGAATAAATCAAGATCAAAACTAAGCAAATCAACAAATTCATCATCATCATATCAATCAAGCTAAATTCAATCAACTAATCAATTAAACTTGAACAATCAACAAAACAATTGAAATAAAAAAACTAAAGATTGCATTAAAGTAAAAGAAATCCTTACAAACTTGCTTCAAATCAAAGAAAATGTGCTTAGAATCAACAATCATCAATCATGAATTTCTCTCTCTACAACAAGTGTTTCTCTCTCTAATTTTTTATCTAAAATTCTACAATATGAATTCTCTCTCTAAAAATAGAAGAAAAATCTATATATAGTAAAACTAACAAAGAGAAAATAGTTAGATCGTCCAAAGAAGACTCGTACAGGCGTGATCATCTTCAAGAAAATGCGCGGCCGCGCAAAGGAGGGTACGAAACACGGACCTCGAGGCATGCGGCCGCGCCACCAGGCTGCGCGCCCGGGCCTGGGAATAGGGCAGCCACCATTACTTTCATGTTGATGCTCCTTATGCGCTCCACTTGATGTGCTTGATGAACACGGGACATGGCAGATTCCAAGAGGCCTCTATGGTGGGTACAATATCAAGACTGGTGCCCCCATGACTTGAATGCACACCCAAAAGAAACTTGGAACTTGCACATCTCCATTCTTGAGCTTAAAATGGAAGGCACTAGGCATCCTAATCAATGCAAAACTCGGGAAGGAACCTCGAGAATCCTTGGATAACGATCCTCACCTGAAAATAAAAGAAAACAAGCAAATAAAAAGGGAAAATAGCAAAATAAACCTAGAAATACATGAAAATAGAAAATCAACTAAGGAAATGCAAACTAAATAAATATAGAGTAATACTAAGGAAAAATGAGTAAAAAGAGCTATAAAAGAGAATGAAATTCACCCTAAAAGAGAAGAAATGAGTGTCATAAATGAAACTCATCAAATTCCCCCAAGTTAAACTTTTGCTTGTCCTCGAGCAAAACTAAGAAAGCAAGAATAAGGATTTTTGAAGCAATTTTTCGTGTACGTGAAAATTCATACAGAGTGATTAGTCAAATGTGTGAAGCATAAAAAATCATCAAAATTTGAAGAATGACCATTGTATCATTTAACTAACTAGCTTTTTTTAGTAATAGAGTATTAATTATTGTCAATTGGGAGAGACATGTTTGTGATGAGTGGCATTTATGCGACTCTTTTATCCTTTTTGTCTAAGGATTATCCCCTCATTTGCACTTGTTTGAGCCTTTTCCAAGAACTTTGTTGTAGTTTTTTCTATGTTTTGTTCTTTCTTGTGTTTTCCCTTCTTTTCCTTTCTTTTTGCCTTGATTTATCGCTTTTCTTCTCTATTTTGCTTATGTTTGTGTATGATTATTTGATTAGGTTGAATGGAGAGCTTGCGTAATCTTTCTCGAGGCTTCGTTCATCCTTTGGAATGCATTAGAATAGGTGAAGAGAGGAGCATGGACTAAATGAAGAATCTGGAGCATGCATGAGAAGCGGCCGCTCACCCTGATAGGAGCGGTCGCACCATTTGGTGCCTGTCATCCCCTTTTCACAGACTAATGGAGCGGCCGCTCACCCCTAGAGGAGCGCCCGCTCCTGTCTGAGGGAGCGTCCGCTCCCCTTTGGTCGATGTTTTTTGTTATACCCTCTAGAGCAATCGCTCCCCCTTGATTGAGCGGCCGCTCCCGTGGGTATTTCCTTGCATTCTTAATCTCTTTTTAGGGTAATGTGAGGGGCATATAAACACCCCTAGGATTGTAATGAGATGATTATATACATTTTAGCCCTAATCTTACAGAGAGAAAGTGTAGTATTACTCAACTTTCCTTCATTGTATTCAACTTTGTTCAAGTTTATCTTCAATCAATCAAGCAACACTTCAAGTTTTCATCTTTCATTTTTTCCTCTTTAGTAATCTCTAATCCTTTCTCTTAGTTTTATTTATTTGCCTTTTTGTTGCTTATTTTCATTAATCTTATTAGTTCATCTATCATTATTGTTTTCATTGTTCTTAATCATGTTTTGTTTTGTATTTCTTGAGTTTATATCTAATTTTGCTACTATGTTTAACCCCCCTTCGCTAGGCTAATTTCTTAGCTAGGGGAAGGGGGTGGAAAATATGTGTTGATATTGGATGAATGATGATGGTTGGATTGAACTCATACCATAAATTGATGAAAGACATGATTTTTGATAGCTTGAGACTATTGTTGCACTTTATTTGATGTTCTCTAGTTTAAATGCATGAAAGTGATTTGAACTAGTATAAGATCATCTCTATTTTAATGATTGCATGAGAATGAGTTGTTAAAGTGGATTTTGATGGATTATGCTTCTTTATTCTCTTTATTTTCTTGTAACTAATGAGATGCATGAGAATGATCCTAATTAGTATAGACCTATTTCATTGATTTGCCTAGACTATTGCATGAGAATGAATTGTTTAGGTAGAATCTTGTGTTCTTTTGCATGTTCATCATGATAACCATTATTGTTCCCCTCTTTCTAATCATGTTTGACACCCCCGTACCTCTAGTGTCGTTCTCTCCTTATTTTAATCATCTTTATCTTTGCTTATTTGTAGTCTTAGTACTTTTTATCTAAAAACCAACAAAAAATTCCCCATTTTACTCTTTCATTAGTGATATTGATGTTGAATGAGCGAGCTTCCTTAGTGGTTCGACCCTTTACATGCCCCATACTTGTATTAGGGTAGTTTAGGATTATAAATGATTAATTTGATTAGGTTAGTATTCTAACGAACTATCTAATCCCGACCAAATTTTGGGGCCGTTGCCGGAGAAGCGGCTTGTTTAGCGTCTATTTTTTTTTTTGTTAGAGTGATTTTAATTATTTTTTTTGTTTTTCTTATTCTATCATACTTGTCATTGCTAATTGTTTGCTTAGCTTTGGTGAATGCATAGAAGATCTCAAGGACCACCCACACATCAAATTGACCAAGAGATCAACCGACCTCTAAGACAAGTCCGTAGACTTTTTCAAGAAGAAGGAAGAGGTCTTGGTGCCACTACAAGAAAAAGGTGAATTATCAACGGATTTTTGCGGCTACCATAATAATTAGTTGCAAAAATAAATTTAGCGACTGAAATAGACGAGTAGTCGCAAATTTTGCAACCGAATTTGCAGTAGTTGCTATGCAGTCGTTAATTAGCGACTGATTTTTGCGACTACAATAATAATAAATTGCAAAAAATATTTTTGCTATAGAAAAAGACGAATAGTCATAAAATTTGCAACCGAATTTATAATAGTTGCTATGCGGTCGCTAATCTGCGACGCTCTTATAATAATTTGCAACTAACACGATAGTTGCTACTATTATTTTTAATATTTATTAAAAAGAAATAAAAAAACCCTTAGTATAATAAAAAAAATAACCCTTATTCCTAATAAAAAAAAAAGGTTATTGCCGCAAAAAAAAACAAGAATTATCAATCAGTCTTATACTCTTATTCACTGTCAAAAACAAGAACTATCATACTCTTCCTGAAAAAAAAAAAAAAAAAAAAAAAAAGGTTCAGAACTTCAAATCAAGCATCACCGTCGTCTTCCTCTGCTGCCGTTGCGCCACCACTACTTCACCCAGATTAGTACGCGTTCTTCCCCTTCCTACCTTCCATTCAATCTTTCTCTTACTACATTATGTCAATTGCGAATTTTAGGGTTATCTTTGAGTTTTTTGTCCAATTTTTCATTTTAATTTGGTTTCTATTGCGAGTTGATATTAATCTGATTATTGATTGAATTGTGAATTGGTTTTAATATGATAATATCACAGAAGCGAGAATTATTTCTTGAAACTAGAATTAGGAATTATTATTTCTCGATTATGTTTATGGGTTATAAGGTATTATTCTTGAAAATAATATGTAGTAAGTAACTAGAATTAGGAATTGCGAATTAAGGTTATCATTGAGTTTTTTTTGTTCAAACTTTTATTTAAATTTGGTTTCTATTGCCAATTGCGAATCCTGAAACATAGTTTTTTGTTTTTTTTTTACATACTGTCTTCACATAAGAATTACAATTAAGCTTAGAGATTCATCAGTGTTCTCACCTCTTTCTTAAAACTTCAAGGAAAACAACCCTTACTAGCATACTATTTGTTTCTGTGGGAACATGAATCAAAATATGTCACATTGTTATCAGCATTCCTAGTTGTTATCTTCCATACTTTAGTGGTTGGTATTGGTTGAAGCTTTACTAAAATGGAAGGATTGGGCATTTGGGAACCAATTTATTGCTCGGTCTTAGCATTTTTTTTATGCAAGCTGGGGATTAGATTAAAAATAAAAAGATTTAAAGGTTTACAGAGTAGTTAGGGAGGTCTCTCCTCCAATAAAACATCATCTAGAAAGTTAGGACAAGAGTTTAAAGACAGCAGGTTACAATCATTAGTCGCACTAACTCTACAGTTCTTAGCCAAAAGATCAGCTGCCTTGTTACATCTTCTAGGTTCATGGCTGATCTAGACACTAGGTAGCACCTCAAGCAGGTCCCTGCATTGTTTGGCAAGTAACATGTTAGCACCTCTAATTGAATCTTCTTGCTTCACTCTATCAATACCAAATTGAGAATCTGAGCAAATCTGAATGTTAGTCCATCATTATTTCTCAGTCTTAGCATTTTTTGTCGTTGCAGTCTTTGTATTTGTCTGTTCTTCAGTAGCTTGAGTTGTCTAATTCAGTTCAGCTCTCCTACTCTCAATGGCCTGTGTACGTCAGGAACAATGTAGATATTGGTTCATAGATGTAGCAGTAAAGATACTAAAGATAACACATCTCCTGCTACTTCAAATAAAAAACCAAAAGTCTACATAAATTAATTTTAATACATATAACAACTTATGTTTCAAAATTTAGGCTTTTAAATAGGCAACAGAATTTAGGCTTTTAAATAGTCTACATAGATTATTTTCTAATATTTTCCCTTAACACTAGATATCCTATTCTCATATATATGTTGCTTCATATTTTGATTTATGTAGTTTCTGGCTTTCTGTTATTCTGAAATTTTGTTTCTAGATTTGGTAAAATATATTGAGTTGTACCTATCATTGTTTTGTTCTTCTTGTTTCACTATAAGCATATGCAAATCGTGGATATCATACACTGATGCATTAAGTATCATTTTTTTTTGTTCCTATTAAGTTTCTTTTTTGGTTTTCTCTCTATTTATGTTGTCCCACCTAATGAATTGAACACTTCTTTTTCCATTGTTTCAAAAATAAAGAAAAAGGATTGTGTATACACTATATGACTTAATTGCTGCACCTTTTCTTGCTTAAATTTCTTTTGTCTTCTAAGTAATTGCCTAAATAACTAAGTAACGTATATAATAAGAATAAATTACATACATAAGAAGGCTATATAACATATGTGTGTATGATTAACAATGTCGTTTAATAGTTAGGATCATGGATAAATTGAATCGAAAATGGATGTATGAGAGATTAGAAGGTCGACTACTAAGAAAAGAGTTCACAATTGGCGTGCGAGGGTTTATTGAGTTTGCTAAACAACGTCGTGATTTTCAAGAATCTTTGTTCAAAGTGTAAAAATGTTCCTTTTTTAGATGTTGAAAGTGTAAGAGATCATTTGTACAAAAAAGGATTTCTTAGTAACTAATATGAATGGGTTTGTCATGGAGAGGATTTTGATTCTTTAAAAGCATCAGATGAGCCATCGAATTCGTATGTTGACATGATTATTGATGCATTTGGTCAAGTTGATGGTGATCCAATGCATGAAGATATTTGGAATGTTAAAGAAGAACCTAATCCACAAGTGAAGAAGTATTGGGTGGTTGGGGTGTACCTGAGTATTGCAGAAATTGCATGCACCAATCAAGGGATGTTTGCTTTCCTTGGTTGAAACACTTGTATTTTCTTGATTTTTTACTTGTTAAAGTCAGTTTTTTGATTTGTTGAGCTTTTATCGGTAACGGAGGCAAAGTTATTTGACAATTTTCGTTAACTAATAAATAAATGATGCTGTAAATATCAACTGTCGTCTATTCAGAACTAGTGATATACTATGAAAATAATCTGAAGTTGGGATGCTTTTTGTTAAATAAATTAAAAAATAAAAGGTTCTTAGGTCCAATTTCATTATATATACAAGCATACTACAAAAGGTAATACAATCCTAAATTGCATTAATGATAGTACTTGTAAAAAAAAGTTAGAGATTTATTTTATGTATAATATTCTATTTTGAGTTAAAATCATAAACTTTACATGTTAATTATATGCAGCGCACATATACTTGGAGACCCGAGTTTGATGCTAAGGCTAGGAGAGAATTTGATAAAAAAAGCTGGGGACTGACGTAGAGGCACATTGAATGAAGTTTACAAAATGGCTCTCCATAAGCAAGTTAGTTTCATGACTAACATTGTTCGAGCTGAATTCATAAATAAGCGTAAGCATCCTGATTTTTTGAAACGTTCTAACCAAGCGAGAGATAATCGGTTATCTGGCCAAACATTGGAGAATTTTGACCCTGGCCATCGCCAAGGTAGCGTATCTACTTCTCAAGTGGTTAAACAAATGGTAAGTGTATGATTTTAGCAGCAAACTTATGATTTATAATATAAGATAGAAGCAAGTAGAAACTTTTTAGCCACTAATAGAGATGACTAAAACTGGTCTTTATTACAATTGCTCTGTAGTCTATGTCCCCCTATTTTTTGATTTTTTTTAGTGCTAACATTTTCTTCTAATACAAGGCAAAGAAAAAGGATGGAATTTTACCAACTGCTGCTGAAGTCTATGAGAGCACTCATTCTGTTTGTGTGGGCAATGATGAAGTTGAATTGATGGGTGACAAGTCTCAAAAGGTCATGGTATGAGTATACTTCTATATTTTGCTAAGATTACAAAAAAATATGTGGTGGTTAATGTTTGGAGATATTATGGATTGTTTATTTGTTTGTGTGATTGAGTTGGAGGATGAGAATGATTTGCCGGCGTTAGTCATATGATTAATGTGGTATGGCATAATGTGAATTGAAACAGATTTATTTTGAAGCCATACCCTATAGGAGGGAATTCTTCAATTTACAAAGGAGACTCTGTCAAAATTTTTACTAATAACTGCTTACATAAATTATTTTGCTATAAGTATTGCATTTTTTATTTTAACCTTTTTTTAACAAAATGTATTTAGTTTATTTAAGTTTTAACATTTGAGATCATAGTTACTAATACATATCTTAATGCAGGGAGAATATATGGAAAAACTTGAGGAATATAAGAACAAAGAAATTGAGATAAACCTCGACAAAGTCTACTTGGATGTTGTAGGTTGGCAAAAGAAAATGGAAAAGTCTACAGTTTAGGGAGTGCTTCACAAATGTATTACAAGAGTGATCCTACTTCTCAATCTACTGCATCATCTTCCACTCCTTCCATGATTTCTCAATAAGCTCTCAAGTTGAAGAACTAAAGAAGATGGCGGAAGAAAACCATAACAAGGTAGAAGAAAGCTAAAAAATAGCGGCAGAGAGCTTAAAATATGCTAAGAAATTCGTTGAAAATCATGAGATCGAAAAAGCTACATGGAAGAAGGAAAAATTAGCTATGCAGAAAACATTGCAGGAAATGGCATCACTTGTCAAACAATGTTACCGTCCTTGTAAGCCTCCTACGCCTACAGTCACCCGCTCTCGTGATACAACTAAGTGATTTTTATTTTCTTGGTGGTAATTTTATGAACAACTGGTCTTTTACATTGTCATTAGTTCTTATTTGAAGTAGCTTTTTTTATATGGGAGGTGACTTTTTAAGCAATTAGTCATATGAGTTAAATATTGTTTTTTAATACATTGATACAAAATTGATGATATTTTGGATATATGAATAAAATTAACATTTTGGTTATTTGAATTTATGCGAGGGTATCTTTTTTTTTTTGTGATAAATATTGGTCGTCGCTTAATTATGGTCTCAAATATTGATAGTCAGTCGCAAATATTTAGTGACAGCAAATTTGGTTTAGAGACTAATTGGTTAGTTGCAAAATCATTGGTCTTTGTAGTCCCTAATCTGTCACAAATAATTAGTTTTGTAGTCGCAAAAATTGGTCCCGTATGTAGTTGCTATTCCGTCGCAAAAACCATTAGTCTCAATAGTCGCAAATCCGTCACAATATTACTAGTCTCCGTAGTCACAAAAGTTTAGTCTCGTAGTCGCAAAAGTTTGGTCTTGTAGTCGCTAATCCGTTGCAAAAGTAGTCTTAAAACATTCATCTCTGTAGTTTCTAATTTGTTGCAAATATATTACGACGGACAAAAATTTAGTTGCTAAAATTTGAAATTTATTCGCTAAATGGTAGTTGCAAAGGCATTGCAAATCTGTCGCTAAATTTGCGACTGTTCAAAAATTAGTTGCAAAAATGGATTTGTGACGAGGTCTTTGGAAACGAACCAAAGTAGTTGCAAATCCGTCGCAAATCCGTCGTTGCGACGGATTTGCGACTACTTTGGTCGTCGCTAATTACCCTTTTTCTTGTACTTTTTCTTATAGTGTGCTATAGTTGATAGTGGGAGTGATTCTTACTCTTCAAGTTCTCAAAGTGAGTCAATGGCGAGACAAGAAGATGATGTTTTTTTTACTGAGTTCGGAAATTCGAAGGATTATGAGCTCACGGGAGGGATTTTGCTACCCGTCACGGAAACCAACTTCACAATTCATCCCCAATATACAAGAATGGTCCAATCGGAACAATTTTCGGGTTCTCCAAGTGAAGACCCCATCGAGGACCTTGATAGATTCCTTGAGTTGTGTGCCATGATAAAAACCAATCAAGTTTCTCAAGACTACATCCGAATGCATCTTTTTTTACAATCTCTTTCGGGTAGAGCAAAGAAATGGCTAAAGCAAGTGAAGCCTAACTCTCTCACGACATGGAGGGAGGTAGTCAAGGCATTCTTGAAGAGGTTCATTTCCAAGGAAAAGACCTCCAAAATGAGAAGGAAGATTGCATCATTTGAACAAGAAGCGGATGAGAGTCTTAGTGAAGCTTGGGAGAGGTTCAAAGAATTGGTACAAGCGTGTCCTCGCCATGAATACAATCAAAGTTTGCTCATGCGGTTTTTCTATGATGGATTGGAGCCCATGTCTAAAGCTAACTTGGATGCGGGGGCGGGTGGACAATTGATCAAGATCTCCCAAAATCAAGTGGAAGCAACAATTGAGGAGGTAGCGAAGAACTACGCTTGGGGTGGTAGAAGAAGGAATGCACCAAAGAAAGGTGGAATTTATGAATTGGAGAAGTTTGATCAATTACAACATCAAATTGAGCAACTAACATAAGGGATTTCCAAGTTGAACACGAGTGTGAATGTAAGTGCAAGTAGTGGAGCAAGCTCTTCTCAAGTTAACTCTTTCTGTTGTCAAAATTGTGGAGGAACGAACCATGATACATCCTACTGTGGAGGTTTGAGCCCAGAGCATGTAGTGGCATACAACACAAGGCAAGATGGATTTAGAGGAGGCGGCGGTGGAGTAGCTGGAGACAACCACCACCCGGGTTTGCATCTCAACCTCAACAATGGAACCAACAAGCTTAACCTTCCTACAATTCCAACCCTTAATACAAAAATCCACCTCCATCTCAACACCAAAACCCAAGAGGAATCTACCCAAGGAACAACCAATATAATAACCAAAACCAATACAACAATCAAGCCCAAGTGCCTCAAAGAAATCAAGAGCAAGAATCTCAAGCGGAGCTAACACAAACTCAATTCCTTCAAGCCAACATTCACAAATGCAAACTTTTGGGCAACAAATGCAAGAAATAAGAGCTCACAACAAGATGATTGATTCACAACTAGCTCAATTGGCCGAGACAACCCCTTTCAATTCACCATCTACTCTACACGGACAACCACAACCTAACCCTTCTCATAACCCAAAAGTCGATACATGCAAGGCAATTACATTGAGGTCGGGGACTTCCTATGAAGGTCCAAATGAGGGGAATAGTGAGGTAAAGAAGGGAGGAGAAGAGAGTGTAAATGAAGACAAGAGAGGTGAAAAAGAGAAGGTTGATGAGGTAGAAGGAGGTTCGGAGAAGAAGAAGCTTGACAATGAGAAGATAACTTCAATTCCTAGTGAGGCTAGGAATCTTGATGGATCGGTTCCTTTTCCCGGTTGACTTGCGGAGAGGAAGTTGAATGACAAGTTTGCAAAATTTCTTAGTGTAATGAAGAATTTGCACATCAATCTCCCTTTCATTGAAGTTGTGACACAAATGCCATCCTACTCTAAGTTCCTCAAGGATATTCTCACCAACAAAAGGAATCTCAATGATGAGCTTATCACCCTTCCACATCAAGTGAGTGCTCTTATCCAACATAAGATGCCCAAGAAGGAAATAGACTCGGGGAGTTTCACTTTGCCTGTAAAAATTGGGAACATGGAAGCTAGGGGTGCATTGGCCGATCTTGGAGCAAGTGTTAGTTTAATCCCTCTATCCATAGCTCACAAACTCAAAATAGAGATGATCCCTACAAGAAAGACAATTCAATAGGCCGACCGCTCGGTGAAATTACCTTGTGGAGAGCTTGAGGATGTTCCAATTTAAGTGGGACACATCTATGTGCCTTGTGACTTTTTAGTGATGGATAAGGAGGAAGATGTTGACACTCCTTTGATCTTGGGTCGTGAAGCTCTTAAAAATTTGGGGGCGGTCATCAATTGCAAGAACAACACCATCACATGTGAGGTGGCCGATGAGAAGATTGTCTTCGAGTTTTCTAAGTTGCTCAAGACCCCCATGGTTGAAAAATGCTATAGGGTTGACATTATGAATGAGGAAATAGACCGATTAGGGAGGGTCATAATGAAGCCTCGAGATCCAATGGAATAAGCTCTTACATACATACAAAGAAGAGTTCCACTCTCAAGAGGCCAAAGAATTTGTCATGGCAATGGAGGAAACCTCAAAGGAGGAGGTTGAACAACAAGTTGAGATCGAGCTTGAGTCTAAGGAGGGAAATTAGAGGAGATTTCTAAGCCTCCTCCCAAGGTAGAACTTAAGCCCCTTACCCCTTCTTTTAAATATGCTTATCTTGATAAAGGGGGAAAATACCCTATTATTGTCAATGCTACCCTAGATGGTCTTGATTTGGAAAAATTACTTGATGTTTTGAGAAAATATAAGGATGTGATAGGGTATAGCATTGATGATATCAAGGGTATTAGCCCTTCTTTATGCATGCATCGTATTCATCTTGAAGATGATCATTCCACCTCCATTGAACCTCAAAGGTGGTTGAACCCCAACCTCCAAGAGTTTGTCAAGAAAGAAATTTTGAAACTACGTGAGGCGGGCATCATCTATGCTATCTCCGATAGCAAGTGGTTTAGCCCGGTTCATGTAGTCCCAAAATGGGTAGGATGACCATAATCAAAGATGAAAGAGGAGAGGAAATCTCCACCCGGACGGTGACTGGGTGGAGAATGTTTATTGATTATAGGAGGTTGAACAAAAATACAAAGAAAGATCATTTTCCTCTCCCATTCATGGACCAAATGCTTGAGAGACTCCCTCACCATGCTTTCTTTTGTTTCTTGGATGGGTACTCCATATTTTTCCAAATCCCTATCCATCTAAGCAATCAAGAGAAAACTACTTTCACATGTCCATATAGGACATTTGCATACCGAAGAATGCCATTCGGATTATACAATGTTCCCTCTACTTTTCAAAGATGCATGACCTCCATTTTCTTCGAAATGCTTGAAAAGAAATTAAAGTTTTCGTGGACAATTTTAGTGTTGGTGGCTCGTCTTTTGACACTTGTCTTTTTAACCTTGAAAAAGTTTTGAAAAGGTGTCAAGAGACGAGTTTGGTTTTAAATTAGAAAAAGTGCCACTTTATGGTCGAGGAGGGTATTGTCCTCGGACATAAAGATTCAAAAAATGGCATTGAAGTTGATCCGGACAAAGTTTCGGTGATTGAAAAGTTGCCCCCTCCTACTACTATCACGAGAGTACGAGCTTTTCTTGGGCATGCCGATTTCTAACTGAGATTTATCAAATATTTTTCATCAATCGCCAATCCCTTGACTGAATTACTCAAAAGGATGTTGTTTTTAGCTTCAATGAGGCTTGCATTGAGGCATTTCATAAGCTCAAGAAATCTCTCATTTCCTCTCCCGTTGTGCAAGCTCCGGATTGGAGCTTGCCTTTTGAGCTAATGTGCGATGCGAGTGATTTTGCAGTGGGTGTCGTGCTTAAATAAAAGAAAGAAGGAAAATCATGTGTCATCTACTATGAAAGTATGACTCTCAATGAAGCTCAAAAGAATTATACAACAACGGAGAAGGAAATGCTAGCGCTTGTGTTTGCCTTTGATAAGTTTCGGTCCTATCTTATTTGCTCTAAGGTTATTGTGTACACGGATCATATCGCGGTGTGATATCTCATAACTAAGAAGGAAGCAAAGCCTCGCCTAATCCATTGGGTTCTCTCTCTTCAAGACTTGCACATGGAAATGAGGGACAAAAAGGGAGCGGAGAACTATGTTGCGGATTATTTATCTAGGCTACCTTTTGAGAACAAAGAGGATGTACCAATAAATGATGAGATAGGATTCGAAACTCTCATGGCTATGGCTTCAACATCTAGCCCTTGGTATGCGGACATCGCCAACTATCTTGCTTGTGGAGTCGTTCCCCCGGAGTTTTCTGCTCAACAAAAGAAGAGGTATTTCAAGGAAGTGAGGAGATACTTTTGGAATGACCCATATTTGTTCAAACAATGTGGAGATGGCCTTTTTTAAAAATGTGTTCTGGATCATGAAATCGAAGGTGTTCTTGAGCATTGCCACTCACTACCATGTGGAGGACATGGGGGTGTTGATGAGACGGTGGCAAAAATTTATCAATCTCTATTGTGGTGGCCGACGATGCATAAGGATGCCCACAAGTTCGTTTCTCAATGTGATAGGTGTCAAAGAAGTTGTTGCATAACCAAAAGAGATGAAATGCCTCAACAAAGTGTTTTGGAAGTTAAGCCCTTTGATGTTTGGGGGGTGGACTTTATGGGGCTAATTAATTATCTTGGTAGCGGTTGATTATGTGACAAAATAGATTGAAGCAATACCCTCTCCTACCAATGATCACAAGGTTGTGCTTAAGCTTCTAAGAAGATAATTTTTCCTAGATTTGGGGTTCAAAGGGTGTTAATTAGTGATGGAGGCTTCCATTTCACCAAAAAACAATTTGAAGCTCTTCTCAAGAGATATGTCGTTCATCACAAGGTTGGTCTACCTTACCACCCTCAAACTCAAGGACAAGTGGAGGTCTCGAATCATGAAATCAAGAATCTACTTGAAAGGATGGTGAACAAATAAAGGTAAGATTGGTCTATGAAGCTCGATGACACACTATGGGCTCTTAGGACGGCGTATAAGACTCCAATCTGCACGACCCCCTACATGTTGGTCTACGGGAAGGCTTGTCATTTGCCGGTTGAGTTAGAGTATAAAGCTTGGTGGGCTATCAAGGAACTCAATATGGATTTATCTTTGGCCGCTGAGAAGAGATTGTTGAAGCTCAATGAACTTGAAGAGCTTAGGAATGATGCTTATGAGAGCTTAAGAGTGTATAAGGAGAAGACCAAAAAGTGGCATGACCAACATATACGAAACAAGAGCTTTAAGTTTGGAGATAAGGTTTTGCTTTTCAACTCAAGGATTTGTTTGTTTCTGGGTAAACTCAAGTCCAAGTGGTCGGGGCCTTTTGTGGTATCGAAGACTACTCCTTATGGTTCTTTTAAGTTAGATGCGGATGGTAACAAGTTTATGGTCAATGGTAATCCTTTGAAGCATTACTTTTGCAAGGAAGAAGTTGGTCTCATTGAATGTTTAAGGCTTGATCCTTGGGATCCCAAGCCCCCTCCTTGAATGAAAATTTTCTCATGGTCAAGCTAATGACCTTATAAAGAAGCGCTTCTCGGGAGGCAACCCGAGTTTCTCTTTATTTTTAATTTTTCATTTTATTGGTTTGGATTAATTTGGATGTTTGGTTGTTTGAATTTTATGTTGTTTGATGTTGTAGGGTGGGAGTGGAGTCGATAAATGTGGATAAGTGAAGGAAAAGAGCAAAAATTCCATGATTTTAAAGAGCTAAAGAAGAAAAATGGTGCGGTCGCACCACTCACAAGGAGCGCCCGCTCCAGGGGTGGAGCGTCTGCTTCCTACAGAGAAGCGCCCACACCATTCAGGTAAATTAGAGGTAAAATCAGAGGAATGGAGCGGCCGCTCCACCCTATAGGAGCGCCCGCCCCTACCTGATGGAGCGTCCGCTCCCATCAGTGGAGCGCCCGCTCCATTCGACTTTTCAGAAAAAAAATTGGGTTATTAACCCCGATTTTTCCCCCAATTCATCACTCTCCTCATTTCCTCCTTTACTCAAACCCTAAATCTTTCCTCCTAATCTCATCCCCATCAATCCCCTTCACAAATCACTCACACACATAAATCAAAACACTAATTTCAATCCTTATTTCACCTCAAATTTGATTTTTTCCTCCATTTGTGACGAGATCGGTAAATTTTCATCCGTTTGGGTCTGTTCTTTGATTTATTTTGGAGAAATTTGGTATGATTTTCTTACTCTACTGCACTTAACTGTTGATTTTGTAAGTATAATTAGCCGTATTGTTGTTTAATTTGTGAATTGAGGACTCCAATTTCATGAATTGCATGACAACTTTCTAGTTCATGTACTACTAGTTGATAATGTTTGATTGAAGCTAAATTTGAGTAGTATGTGATTAGTATTGTCATGTTTGAGCTACATTGTTTATTTGGATGATGTTTGTAATTAATTTCCCTTGCAAATTTTCATACTTGTATCATGGGATAATTTTTGTTCATACTAGCATAGTGCTTGATTTATGATGTTTGATTTAAGCTCCTTTGCAATTTCTTATGCTAGTATTGTTTGGTATGATATGAAATTGGTATTTGTATGATTTTTGTCAAGGTGAATTGTTTTGATGGAGGATTAATCTATTTGGTTGGTTAATTTTGGTTTAGCATGCTAGATTGGCATCTAGATGGTGTTACAATGTTTCTATCACTTTGATTTTGAATATAGAAATTTTTAGAAGTGGTATTGAACCTCCTCCTATGTCCTTAATTTTTCTTAATATTGCTCATGGAGTGGTTTTTATTTCACCATGTAATGCCTATTTAGCTAGTTGATTTGATTGTGGATAATTGAAATTGTGAGATGAATTTTTGAAGTTGGATTTTTGGTTGTTTGTAGGTACTTATACCGTACCGGAGTGTGTGTGTTGTTGCCATTCGTTTGTCAAAGCCATGTCTCGCCGATTTAGGGATTTGTTGTCAGGGTCTTCTTCCCGAAAATCTCAGAAGGGTTCTTCTTCCCAAGCCCCATCATGTACTACTGCGGTGCCCACCCTTCCTCAACCATACAGGGTGGAATTTGCATCAGCTTATCAAGAGAAATGCTATGGCGAACTTTCGAAGCGCCATATTCGCTCCACAAGGTTCTATGATAAGTCTTGCTGTCAAGCCTTGGGTATCGACTCAGATGTCTGAGATATGGCCAAGTTTTTAGGGTAGGAAACATTCCTTAACATCACGGTCCCTTTAAAGTGGACCAACAACCCTTCGGCCAACCCAAAGCCTCCTTGCACCTACCGAGAGCTCACTCTGTAGTTCCTCTCGTCTTTTAGCCTTCATTCAACTGAAAGGCGGGGTGTGAAAGAGCTTGAACTCCACTTCCGGATGTTCAACAAGCAAAAAAAGGTGACATTGAGGGAGCTCAATCAAATGTTTGGGTGGGACCCGGATAGCCCCGTCCATAGGGTTTTCGATAATGAAAGGATATGGCAAGGGTACGATGAGCAAGAGTGGTGGAGCACCATCACCCAAGGGAACACAAAGTTCAAGTCAAGGTCCGCGAAGGCGTCGGAAATCATCCATCCGGCCCTTCGGTACTTCCTTAGGATGATGGTCTACGCCCTGTTCTCCCGTCAAGAGCTCGGGAAGATTAACCAAGAGGAGCTCACTTTGCTGTGGTTGACCACCGATGGATATATCAACTATGATCACGGTGTCAACTTCTGGGGCCTCCTCGCAGATCACTTCCACGAGACATAGTTAGGTACCTCCCTCAGTGGTGACATCCAATGCGGGAGCATGATCACTTGTATTGCCTACAAGCTCGGGTTTGGAGCGGAGTTGGCTAAGCTTACCCCGGTCGATGAGCTCCCCTATTCATCACTGCTCTCAAGACAGTCGGGATGCTACGCGAGGTGCCTACTCGTATGGGGTTTGATGAGCGGATTTGGATGGTCCGCGATGCTTCATGGTGCCAACTCCCCAACGACTTCATCTCTAACCCGCGTGAAGATGGGAACCAATGGCACATTCCCCGCTTTACTCTTGAGGAGGGTAGCTTGTCGATTAGGGAGAGAGCTCCCTGAGCCCAAGCCAAAGGAAACAACAGCAACAACAACAACAAGAATGTCATCAACACCATTTCGAGCATCAACATTTCCATTATGGGGAAGGTTCGCAATCTTTGCACGTCCCACCCTTTAGTGAGGGAGGTATGGCTTCTTCCTCTTCCTCTTTTAACATTGAAAGTGACGGGTGCATGGAACTTAGTGGAAGACGTGCCACGTGTCGTGACACGAAGTCGGGCCAAGCTCCTTGGAGGTCACCTTTCTGGGCTAACCATCATCACACTTGAAGACAAGAAGCTTATCAATATATGATGCAACTACTTCATTCAGCCATATCTCCTTCATTACAAGTAATTTTTAGGTGATTCAAGTTGGAGGTGAAATTAGAGTTCAAAATCTTTCCAACGACTGGTCACATGCCAAATTTGAGCAAGAAACGAAGAAGTTATGAACGTTTGAAGTTAAGCTGTCCAGGAGTAAGGACGTTCGACCGAACCAAAGCTGGTTCGCCCGAACCTTCCAGGCAGTTTCAAACCTGATACTTGCATCTTTGCAGGAGTGGCCGAACTCCAAAAGTTCGACCGCACCTACCCACAAGTTCGACCGAAATTACCCTAAGTTCAGCCGAACCTTTTCCCTTTTTTCTGTCAGTTTATGCGCACTATTTAAGTTGTTTTTAAGGAGTTTTGCAAGAATTAATGTTGAACTTTGCTTGATTGTAATCAAAGAGACTTTCTCTCTCTACCATAATCTTTGTGATTATTTAGCTTTCTTTGTGATTGCTACCTTGTAATCTTTGTGGTTACACCTTAATCTTAGCTTTACTTGGTGTTAGCTTTGATTAAGACCCCTATTTCATATTTCTTGGTGATTTTGAGATAGGTTTACCTTATCTATTGCATTGAAATTTGTGCTTATTTGAAAGCTTTCCCCTTTTACCTGTCTTTCCTTTGTTATTTCATATCATTTGGTATCAAGAGCCTAGGTTATTAGCCTAGAAAAATCCTACCTTTTTGAATTTCTCTTTCCCCCTCTCAAAAGATCTCTTCTTTTCCTACAAAAAATTTGAAATTTCTCTCAAAAATACAAGCTTTCTATCTTGAAACATGGGTGATAGATACTATTATGAAGATGATGAAGGTTACAATGAGCACTCTAGATTGGATGCTCTAGAAAGGAAGTTTGATAGACTTCTTGAGGTATTGGAGAATAGAAGAAGTCCTAGAAGGAGGAGGAGCCCTAGTGAAGAAGATGACTCTCACTCTCCTCACCGGAGAAGGGAACACCGCCAACGAAACCATGAGGACAATTGTGACTGAGATATCAAGTTGGAATTTCCGGACTTTGAAGGTAATCTTGATCCTAATGAATTTCTTCATTGGGTTAGGAGTATGGAGAATGTGTTTGAATATAAGGGTTATAATGATGAAAAACGTTTCAAATTGGCCATCCTTAAACTCAAAAAACATGCTTCTTTGTGGTGTGAGAACTTAAAGAATCGTAGGAAAAAAGATGGAAAATCAAAAATCACATCTTGGGAGAAATTGAAGAAACATATGAACAAGGCCTTTGTGCCTAAAGATTATTTGCAAGATGCTTATCTTAAATTGAACTCTCTTAAGCAAGGAGCTATGTCGGTAGAGAAGTATACTAGGGAGTTTGAGAAACTTTCTATCATGAGTGGAATTGAAGAAGCACCGGAGCATAAGATTTCTAGGTATATTTGTGGTCTTGAAAGAAAGCTTGGGAAAAAGGTTGATGTGCATGCCCATGGAAGTTTTGATCAAGTGGTGTAAAAAGTTTTGAAGTTTGAGAAGTATGACAAGGTGAGTAGTGCTAGTGGGTATACTAAGCCTACTTCAAGAGTTCTTTTGCTCCAAAGGGTGAGACAAGCAAGCCCATTGCCAAGGATGACAAAGGCAAGGCTCCCATGCACTCTTCCAGCAAAGATGGTCACAAAAAGATGAGAAATCGGAAGACTTGCTACAAGTGTAGGGATTATGGACATTTTGCTAATAAGTGTCCAAATAGTAGAGCTATGATAATTCGTGAAATGGATGATGATGAGTACGAAGATGAGAAGAGGGATTTTGGAGACCCTATTTGTAATCAAATCCTTGTTGTGAGGAGGGCACTTCTATCCATTTCTACCCCTTTGGCGGAAGAGGAAAGGGAAAACATCTTCAAAACTCGTTGCACCATCAAGGATCGAGTTTGCAACCTTATCATTGATAGTGGCTCTTGCACTAATGTGGCTTTAACAAAATTGGTGAGCAAGCTCAATCTTGAAACTACCGATCATCCTACTCCCTACAAGCTTCAATGGCTTAACAATCACAATGAGGTGAAGGTAACGAAACAAACTCTTCTTTCTTTCTCAATTGGCAAGCTATATAAGGATGAGGTGCGTTGTGATGTATTGCCTATGGATGCTTGTCATGTATTGCTTGGTAGACCTTGGCAATTTTATAGAGATGTAATGCATGATGGAAGAATGAACACTTATTCATTCATGATAGATAAGAAGAAGATTGTACTCAACCCCTTGTCCCCCACCATCAAACACAAAGAACCCTTAGGTACGGGAAACACAATCAAAGAGAACCTTCTCATTGGGGAAAATGAGATGGGAAAGGAGATAAATCAAGGACACCTTGTCTTTATTTGTCTTCTTAGGAAAACACAAGAGAGTGAGCGAGAGAACCTAATCCACCCCCTTGTCAAGGATGTATTGGTTGAGTACCATGACATTTTTCCCGATGATCTCCCACCCGGTTTGCCACCTATTAGGGGAATTGAACATCAAATCGATCTTATTCCCGGATCACAACTCCCTAATAGACCGGCTTATAGGTGTATCCCCGATGAAGCAAGAGAGCTTCAAAGACAAGTTGGTGAGTTGATTGAAAGAGGATTTGTGAGGGAATCCCTTAGCCCTTGTTCGGTTCCGGCTCTTTTGGTTCCGAAAAAGGATGGTACATGGAGAATGTGTGTGGATAGTAGGGCCATCAATAACATCACCATCAAGTATCGCTTCCCTATTCCCCGACTTGATGATATGCTTGATGAGTTACATGGGTGACCCAAAATATAACTAAAACAAGCCTTTTATTTTTAAGGAAGATTATGAGTAATAGATATTTTATACATATCATATTTAGACTCACTCTTTGTACCACATATTATTTTAAGCCTCTGCATCCAAGCAATGATTTTTTTTTTTTTTTTTTTTGACGGGATCCAAGCAATGATTTTTATTAATTAATTAATATTAATGTTATTATTCACAATACGTCACATAAACTTTCAATTTAAAATAATTTTTTTTAATCCAATCTAACTTAATTATTTGTAGGATTTATGTCAAACGGTAAATTTTCTTCTTCTTTTGATATAGCTTGGTTGTCAATTAATATGATTAAATTTCTATTACTTTTGGTAAAAATGATCCATAATAACACGTACTATGCATTCTCTTTAAATACTTTTATTGTGCATGCACATACTTATTAATAAGAACCTTAATAATTAGAAAAGATATTAATAATTACTTTTTAATGCAAATTAGATTTTACATTACATTTTTTAATTAATACAATTTTAATATTTAATTTTAAAGTTGAAATTTTTATTAATGATTACAGTTGGTTGATGCGCGACTAGAGCTGTCAATTCGGGTAAACGGGTCGGGTTTGAGTCGGGTTAGTTTGAGTCGGGTCATCTCGGGTCAGGTCAATACGGGTTAATATCATAACATATGCGGGTCGGGTTCGGGTTGGGACATGCTTGACTCGGGTCACGTCGGATCATACATCTTATCGAGTTTGGGTCGGGTTTAGGTCGGGTTAGTAAAAGGTCGGGTTACATTCGGGTCGGGTGAAAAATAGGTCGGGTTAAATTCGAGTCTTTACTGGTTTAAACGAGTTAGGGTCGTTCTCGGGTTCGAGTCGGGTTCGGTTAAAGTTAATTATTTACGGGTTATAATCAGGTTGGGTCATTCTCGGGTCCAAGTCGGGTTCGGTTCAAGTCAATAATTTGCGGGTTATAATCAAGTCGGGTCATTTCCATGTTGGGTCATTCTCGGGTTCGGTTCAAGTCAATAATTTGCTGAAAACATGTTTCGTCCCTGAAATTCGTCCCTAAAAACATGTTGTGAAACTAACCTCTTAAAATTCAAAGTGAAACATTGAAGGAATAGAGTTAGGATTCAATTTTCGTTCCAATACCAACATGAGATAACGACTTATACATATTGATTCAATAACAAGTTGGGTTGAATTTGGGTCGGGTCAATAAAAAGTCAGGTTGATTTGGGTCGGGTTTGTAACAGGTCGGGTGAAATTCGAGTCGGGTTTGTAGCAGGTCGGGTTAAATTAGGGTCGGATTAGGAACAGGTCGGGTTGAATTCGGGTTGGGTTAGGAACAAGTTGGGTTGAATTTGGGTTTTAATGGGTTAAAACGGGCTTGGGTCAATTTCTGTTAAGGTCGGGTTCGATTCAGGTCAATAATTTACGGGTTACATTCGGGTCGGGTCATTTCTAGGTCGGTTAATGTTCGGGTTCAGGTCTCAAATACTCGGGTCTAGGGTTGAATTCAGGTCGAGTTAGGTCGGGTTCTGGTCACCATTTTTTTCGGGTTCAGACGGGTCGGTTAATAGGTCGGGTTAGGGTTGATATTTCGGGTTGGGATAACTTTTGACAGCTCTATGCGCGACCCAACTAGTATCCAATACCAAAATAAACAAAAAAAATAAAAAATTTACCAACGCTATAAGGCCTGCAACGCATTTATTTACTGTTACTTTAACAGTTGAACTCTAGAAGATTTTGTCAAAAAAAATAATAATAAATAAAAAATCTATAGTAATATTTAAAGAGAAAGAGCTTTTTGTTCAAACTTTAATTTGCTAAAATCGGAAAATTTGCAAATTGCAGCCATTTAAAGTTCGTATTTTGCAAATTACAGCCATTAATTTTTTTTTTTTTGCAAATTGCAGCTCAAAAGTTCTTATAAATTGTAAATTGCAGCCTGATTCAATTTTTTCATCGGTTTACATGTTGAAAATTTTCGGTTAAGATTTTAAGGATTATTTTAGCCCTTACGGGTCCGAATTGAGCTCGGAATTAGTAAAAAAATAACGTAAGTGTCTCATATTTACAGTTTCCCATAAATTGATACACTTTTGTTACGCAAAACGGGATACTTGCGTTATTACACTTTTGCCTCGCCAACAAGCTTATTGGTCTGTGGATGACCTCCCAAGAATGGTGGCCTTTACTTTGCACCAAGGCTCTACTGTTACAAGCATGGATTTCCATCCTTCTCATCCCACATTGCTGCTTGGTATGAAGGCTATATAATAATTCATCTATTGTAGTACTTTGTTTTCATATCTTGTGCTAACTTTGATGTTTGGATTAGTTGGTTCATCTAGTGCGGAAATTACCCTTTGGGAGGTTGCGTCTTGTGAGAAATTGGTGTCAAAGCCTTTCAAAGTTTGGGAAATGACCTCATGCTCTTTACAATTCCAGGTTAAGCTATCACCTTGTAGTAATTTTCTTGTTATTAATTTGTGTCTCTCTCTCTCTTGGACTACTCTTTTTCTGGATTTAGAACACTTGTTACTGCGGGCTCCTATAGCTGAACAGCCCAGTTTGTAGGCCTAATGATTGTGAGTTTTACAGGCTGCCTATGTCAAAGATGTTATATCAGTCAGCCGAGTCGCATGGAGTCCTGATGGAAATTACCTGGGTATGTCTGCTAGCTTATATTTGTGTTTGTAAAAAATTATTTCTTGCTGCTGCTGCTTCTATTTCTTATTTAATTATTTTTTCCCTTGTATCCATCATATATGATCTTCATTGTTGCAGGAGCTGCCTTTAGTAAGCACCTGATCCATTTATATGCTTATTCTGGACCAAATGATCTTCGACAACAGTTGGAGGTGAATGAGTATTATCTTGCTTGTTCAAGTTGAACTCTGAACATCAAAGTGACTTGTATATCCTTATGCTTGCAGATTGATGCCCATGCTGGTGGGGTGAATGATCTAGCTTTTGCTTATCCTAACAAGCAATTTTGTGTCCTAACATGTGGAGATGATAAACTTATTAAGGTTAGAATGGAGTAGGTTTTTGATATTCAGGTTCAATTTCACATGGTGGTGATGATTTTTGTGTACTCTTTCTTACTAAAACTCTGCTATCACATAGGTTTGGGACTTATCAGGAAGAAAGTTGTTCAATCTTGAAGGCCATGAAGCACCTGTTTACTCAATATGCTCTCATCAGAAGGAGAACATTTAGGTATCTAGTCAATATCCCTTAAATTGGCAATTGTGATACATATAGTAGACATGATGTTTGGGTTTAAAACTGTGCTCTCTTTTCTATTATAATTTTTGAATTGATCTGACTGATGATGAGTTGTGAACTATGCTCATGCTTCTTAGTAGATTATGAAATCTTGAAAATCTGGAAGACACTATCCTGCTTCCGGTTCTTGTAACACTATGCTCATTTGCTTCCTTTCCTTCTCAATTCATTCTTTCAGCTGCATTTGATAGGAAGATTAAAGCTTGGCTTTATGATAATACGGGTTCTAAAGTTGACTATGATGCTCCTGGACGTTGGTGTACTACAATGCTTTACAGTGCTGATGGAACTAGGTATGGTTAAGATTGTGAAAATTGTCTTTTAAAAAGTATTTTCAATCCATTAGGATTTCTAAATTTAAGATCCCAGAGGAGTTCTGCATTAAAGTGGAAGCTAGCATAACATAGTATTGATGCCATGTGATGGTTTTACCTAAACCTGCCTTTTTGTATTGCAGATTATTTTCATGTGGAACTAGTAAAGATGCAGAATCTGTCCTGGTTGAGTGGAATGAGAGTGAAGGGACAATAAAAAGGACATACACTGGATTTAGAAGGAAATCAAACATCATTGTGCAATTTGACACAACACAAAATCATTTTCTAGCTACAGGGGAAGATCAACATATCAAGTTTTGGGACATGGATAATGTCAGTGTATTCGCTCAAACAGATGCAGACGCAGGGCTTCCGGTTAGCATATTTGGATTTATCTATATATCATGGAAAAGATCAACATATCAAGTTTTGGGACATGGATGTAGTGTTGTTGCTTACGTTATGTTTTGAAATGTGTTTCAGAATCTTCCGCGTTTGAGATTCAACAAGGAAGGGAACCTTCTTGCAGTTTCCACTGCAGATTATGGATTCAAAATTCTCGCAACTGCAACTGGTCTTCGATTATTGAGGACTGTAGAAGCCCCACAATTTGAAGCATTGAGGACACCTATTGAAGCTGCTGCTATCAAGGTAACCTTTCAATGATTCAAATTTATTAAACTTGCCAAGCATATAAGATTAGCTATGTTTGTTTCTGTGCTTGTCCTCCTAACTCTCATATGTTCTTGTCTGAACTCTCTGCAATGATCCATGGACATTTTGTTCAATAGTGGTGAGGGCTTATTGGAATTTTTGGTTTTTGATGTGGCATGTGCTACTGAGAACAATTGTGTATGAGAAACCTTGGACAAAGAAATGAACCATTGTACTTTCCTTTGTAAAGAAAGCCCTCCCATTTCATCGTACTTGGACTATCTTTTCTATACATGTACCTTTGCATTATTGTATTTAACTTAGTTTTGGATTCCCTTTTTCTTCAGAATGGAAAAATGGAAAAGGGTAGGATGGCCGAAGTTGCAATTGAGACTAAAATAAAGCCTTGGCAGTTGACTGAAATCGTGGAGCCTGTTTAGTGTAGGCTGGTGACTTCACCAGAAAGCATGGACAGTTTCAGCAAGGTTTGTTGATTGACTCTTAAGAATCATATGCTATTTACAGAATTTCTTTTATTATCTGAATGTTTTATGCCTCTAGGTTGCTCGACTTCTTTACACCAATATTGGTATTCTGGCGCTTGGTTGAAATGGTATCCTGAAGTTTTGGAGGTGGAGGTGCAGTGAGAAAAACCCTAGCGGGAAGGTAATGGATTAGTAGAAGTTTCTGTTTTCATTAAATATGTTTGTGAATGAACTGCTGTTAAAATTTTGAGTTTCAATTTTCAATAGGCCAGTGTGGTTCCGCAACATTGACAACCAAGCAGCTGTCTTTGCATGACTATTGATGTCCCAGGTGTCAATGCTGAAGAAGTTGTACCATGTTTAGCACTTTCAAAATTTGATGTATACTCTATGTCGGCTGCTGGTAAAAAGGTGTCATTGTTTAACGTGATGGCATACAAGGTATTATATTTATAATTATGTAAAGTATGCCTGTTGTTCTATAGTTTAGCTTTATTATGGCCTTCATGGGCAACTGATCATTTTGCAATTTCAGGTCATGACAACATTCATGCCTCCTGCGCCTGCCTCAACCTTCTTGGAATTCCATCCTTATGACACCGACGTCGTAGAATTGGAAAGGAGGATTCAACCATTCACATTTACAGTATTGGAGTTAATAAGGTAATTATTTTCAAACACACAATAACTTCTTCCTTGTGTTTTCTTATAATAGTATGCCATCTATTTATGGTTTTTTCAACCTCTTAATTTCAGGTTATATCAAGATTGATAGGTCACGTGAAGCGTATAACTGGTTTAGCATTTTCAACCAGTCTTAATATCCTGGTATCATCTGGTGCTGATGCTCAGGTAGGCGTTATTCGTCCTCTTTGGGAAGTTAATAAAATCTTTTGAGGTTGCATTTTGTAGTTTTGGAAATGATATATTGATTTAGACTTTAGAGTGTTTACAAATGAAGTGGCCAGGTCACCAATGAAAAATATTTACTTGGGTTGTATGGTCTAGTCGTTCCTTAGAATTTTTATATCTTTATGTTATCCTTTCTGATGGATTAGACGGCAGTGGCTCTGTATAGGAAGTTTGGAGAACGATTACTCGTTATAACCAAGAATGTTTCTCCATCCTAGTACAATTAAATACCAGTGTGTTGAAATTTTATTTACTT